GTCAAGGCGCTGTACTGTATTGTTAGCACTCGTATCAGTCTTTGGCCCCCATACATATCACACTCACTCATCACACGTATCTCTCGGCTAGTATTTTGAGCCAAGGACAACAAATGGTCCTCGAAGCAGTTCACGATTCGGCAGCAAGACCAGCTATCGTTTCCCCAAAGCCTCGGTGAACCATGCTGCTTAACAGATACAGGCTCACCCCAATCGTAGGCCTCTCCGTTCTCGCCGAATCAAGGTTCTTTTCCCCCTGTTTGCCGCCGCCCGTCCTGATCCGGCCTAGCGCTCTCTCGCGTCCCCCGGTCCCAGGAGCATGGCCAAAGGAACTTGGAGTGTGAAGACCGGACTGCAACCACTTTGCAGCTTGAGAACCTTCTGGGCCGCTGGTTTCTATGGAGTACCGTGCTACACTACAGAGTTCCGGAATCGCAGAAAGGTCGGTCGGAACCTCGGTGACGAGCCAGTGACGGGCTCCGCATCCCTCAGTCTGGCTCCATCTTCGTTCCCGCGCCTCGGGTTGCCTCTCCAGGAATCCCCTAGCCCTTTGGCTGGCTGGCTCTGTCTAGGCCAAACCCTCCAGACTCTTGTCCCAGATTTTGAACAGGGGATCAATCGCACGACAAGTTGAAGCAGTGACAAATATTAGCGTGGCTACCGCCAGCCTTCTCCGCCAGAACGTACGGGCATAAACCTTTCCCTTCTCCCATAACAGATTTGTAATTCCTTAAGATGGGTTCGTTTGATTGTCATTGTCATTATTCGTAAGCTACCCTACAGTCCCAAGTTGTTTCATGTCCAGCACCAATTGGGGCCTTTTGGAGACATCATACTACTCGCTCTCATGCTCATAATTCGTCCAGATCCATCCACCTCCTATGAATGCAATTTTGTTTTCCAAAATACCTGATAAATGCTTGAAATGATCGTCATCTTCCTTGTCATATCCTTCGACTAGGAGATATATACTGGTAACCGACTGCCCAATAGTTCGCTCTTCGATACCTGAACATCTTTCTTGTGGAAATCGTGTAGCATGAGCCAACAAATCATCCGGAAAACAAGCGTGCACCAGATATCCTCATGGGTGACGTGCTCCTCGCCCAACTCGTGCAGCATTATTGGTTCTTCATCGTCTATTGTCTCGACGGTCCGGGTACTGAAGTTGGTTTGGTTCCGTTTCTTAAGGCCTCCGAAACCCACAGTAGGCTGTTCGCGTCTATCTGACGATTCTCGAGATACCTCGATGACCTTTCGCCGCACCAAGCGGAAGTAAACCTCCATGAGTTTTTCTTGCTTGAGTTCTGGTGGCGCAGCATCGATATCCTCAAATCGAAGTTGGCTTCTCACTCTGCTTTCCATAGTGGCGGCGTTGCCAGCAGGTTTCGGTGCTATCTTTTCCGGCTTCTCGTTGAACCCTCCTAGGACCTCTTGAATGTGACTGCGTAACACATCTTGAACCATTTCACGTCGTGCGCTCTCAACTGCCCCTTCAGGGTTTCCCTCAAAAGCCGAGGGCTTTGCGGTCATCATCGAGTCAACCCGCGGAGGCGCTGTTGGCCGAGATACCTTCGCCCTTGCCGTCAGAATCTCATCGGTGTCGTCAAGAGCATCGTGCAGAGCATCCATGAGGGGCAAGCTCAACCAGTTGCCAGAGGCGGCAGGGTGTGTTTTTATCAGCCCATTAATCTTTCGGATATTCCTCCGAATGGCTCTGCCGACAAGACTAGGAGTTGGCTGATCCGACTTGAGTTTGTTCATTTGCATGGTGTACGCTTCCAGCAGTCTAGTCAGGGAGAAGTTTTTCGTATCCCAACGATAGTGAGTAGGGTTGGGCAATAAACGGAACGCGCTTTTCTCGATATGAAGTGTACGTCCCAGCATGCCTACGATCTCGAACGCAACTGCCAAGAAAGTGTAAGCACTGGGAATCAGTGAGAATAGTACGACCTCAGCTTACCAGGAAACAAATGACCAACCCTGGCCGTCGACGTGGTGGAAAAGTAGTTGACTGTATTGGTATTACAGCCGATTAAAACCAGTGTTTCGGCGATTTCATGATTACTGGCAAAATTCAAGGTCGACAAGTCGCGGGGCTCGTCGTTGGGAAATTTCAAACGTCGATTGTCCGACGTTGCCCGGTAAATAGTTGGGAGAAAGCCGAAGCAAAGTTCCTTGGACTCGTCCACAGGTATGACACGGTTGTTCTCGAATCGGCTGCGTCCATAAACCTGGAATGTGAACATGATCCCAAGATCACTGACTTTCTCCCCCGTGATGGTGTAGCCATTGCCTTCTGCACGGTACCTATCATTGGTCCTATTGAACTCGACCCAGTAAACACCGAGCATGGCCAGCATTTCGACCATATGACACCACGTTGTTGTGGCGTATGGCTTCTTGACGTTGGTCGGCATCGTATCCCAGCTCCTACGCTTCTTCTGAATGGCGACCGTCAGAGTATACTTGTCACTGACTTCTTTGAGGACGCTAGTGACGTTTTCCTGGCTCTCGAGCTGGTCGGATCCTTTGGGTGGTTTTTGGTAGACTTTTTCGGTATACTGTCTTTCTTGCCATTCCCTGGATTCATGTTCCATCTTTTGCAGTGCAGAGAGGAGCGCCACCCAGGAAGCTCGCTCATTGTCAGCCGTGTGGACTGACTGTTTCGCCAGCTCCTTGTCGGAAACATCCTTTTGGTCTTGAAGTTCTGATCGGCTGTCCAGCAAGCTCTTTTCCGAGCCGTCGATGAATATGATGGGCTCATCTTTAACGGGACCCTTCTTATTGGTCGGAGGGCATAGGAAGATAACGGGAGCTTCGAAAAGAACCTCGAATCGGAACTCGGTGAACTTGATTTTGCGCTGCTTGGATTCGGACCATTTCCCTATCACCTTGCTGCCACAACTTGAATAGCCAGCGGCGGAGGCAAAATATTGCTGTGCGACCTGCAGAAGTGATGCAAGCAAGGCGACAATGGAGATGACGAGAGCGACAATGGCAACAAACAATTCTTTGTCATCGTCGTTGATATTGTCGTTTATCTGCTGGAGAGTCTGGTTGAACTGTGCTTCGCTCATGCCCTCCATGGCCATTGTCTCGTCCAATGGGATCGCTATGGGCTTCTGTTCGCCGTTGTTTGCCGAGCCTTGCGGATTGGCTATTCGGAGCTGCACAGCTTAGGTTGCTCGGGATTTGGTGCTTTCGGTTGTGGGTGGTATCGGAGTGCTCAAGAGCGAACTATGTCGGTGATGGAGGCAGTTTTGATCAAAATGAAGGAAGCCATGGGTGGCGTGAGGCAACCCGAGTTTGTAGCAGACAAGCGGGCTCAGCTGAGGAGGGAGAACGCGGCAGAAGGGAGCCGTGACGTGTGTCGAATCGAAGTTGAAAAAGAATCTCGACGAGACAGACAAGGCTACACGCTGAGCTAGCGCGCGATGGCGGCACAGCCGCGACCTGGAAACGGGAGAAGAGTGCAGGTGGGATGCCATGGGATGTGCGACCAGGCCAGGCCAGTGTCGAGAGGTGAATGCCCACCCCAGTAGCAGCTTCAGCTCGTCTCGCCAGCCATCTCCAATCATGGAATCGTTTGTTGCCTGCCTGCTTCTACAGGCCCCATTGCGAACCCAACCCCTTCCCCGTGTCAGCATGACCCCCATGTCTTGCCCAATAGCCCTATCAGTCGCTAGCTCGTGGCTTGTATTGCGCTACTTTGCTGTGCAGCAGGCAGCGGCATTCTGGGGATGGGTACAGTGGTGGCTCCGTTGGTAGGTATTGATGGCGATGCAGATGTAAGGCAAGGCGATGCGATGTATGTTGACGTGGAAGATGGGCGACGCTATGGGAGGGGGAAATCATCGACTGATGAAGCTCGAATGTCGTCCATTTCGGGGGCAGTGCAGTGCAGACGTTCAAAAAGAGTGCGAAAAGCGTGGCTAAGCTCGTGTCTTGCGCCTTCCATCACTGGGGCTAGGAGCGGGCCGTTATTCGAACCACAGGTCGGTACAAATGCAAGGAAAGAGCACCTTAAGTCTAGGTAGGACGAGAGAATGGAAGGCACGAAAATGACGAGTCGGGGCCCCGTTTTCAGTGCTTGTTTTCCCTCTTCCCCGCCTATGCTAGTATCTGTACCTTAGTCAAGTCGGGTCAGATCACCGCCAATACCTTAGAGGCTTCCATCTGATCCTCGTAACACCCCGTGATCCGAACTCATCCTTGCCTCAGGTCACTTACATACCTCAAGGTAGGTAGGTACGGAGTACCTTATTGTTATTGATAAGCCATAGGGTAGTGGAGGCAGTGGAGCATCATTGACTGCCTCCAATGGCAGATGACAAGCAGCAATGTTTCAATGCTCTTGAACGTGGACCATTCGACTCGCACGCATTCTTGGCCGTTCCTGCGGCCGGTCGACAGGTCCTGGTCTTTCTCTCATCATATCTGCTCGACATTAGTGTGATACAGCATGCAAAGTCGGTCGGCATGAACGGTATTGCTGGCGGTGAGCTGATGCTGAGACGCGATGCTCAATGTATGAAGATGCCACAGATCCGAGGTACGCTGGGGGCCGCAAATAAGTGAAGAGGGGTTTTCAAAGCAATATTGCACATGATTAAAAGGTCCTAGGTCCTTGTCTACTAGATAACTTCTTGTTCTTCCTTTCCGCATTAGTTCCCGGGACACCCGTGTGAGTAACGGAACCCAAGGTTCAAATAAGCACCTTACTCAGGTCACCTTAGCCGGTGAAGGATCAGCCAGCGATTGGATGGATCGCACTTTCTGGCGTTTCTGTAGATTACGATTGATGTTTGGTGTGAGACTAGTCTATGGCACCAAAACGAGAGAGGATCCTTCGAAATAATAAGAAAGAACCCCTCCTCCGGCCTCACCCCCCTAAGATAATAATTAAAGTAGATAGTTTGAATGAGAACTCTTGCTCGCCAGGGCAGTCCAGCTCGTTTTCCGAACCACTGTACAACGCTTCACTTCGTTAGGCTACCATGGCCTGGCTATTTTCTCGTTCCTATCCGGAGCGCAAAGCGGTTGACGTCGACGGGAAAACCTTCGACTATGTCATCGTGGGCGGTAGGTGTTTGTTGTTCACGAGGAAGCCAAGTTCCCCAAAGCTGACATCACGCAGGCGGTACAGCAGCATGTGCCCTCGCCTCTCGACTCAGCGAAGACCCGAGCAATAGCGTTCTCCTCATTTGCAAAGGCAAGGTCAAGGACAACTGGCTTGACCGTATTCCCATTGTTGGGAATGCAAGCGACGGCAAGGGTCCCCAAATCGAGACATTTTGGTCTGAGCCCGACGAGCGATGGACGGGATGCAAGACTCGGACTTTCAATACTCAAGCCCTCGGTGGTGCCACTAGAATCAACGGACTGATGCTCACGCGCGGCGCGCCGGGTAACTATAACCAGTGGGCTGCGCTTGGTAATGATGAATGGAGTTGGGATAAGTGCGAGCCATACTTCAAGAAGATTGAGAACGCTGCTTGCCATCCCAGTGCTCCCTACCGCGGTCATGAAGGTAAGCAGAGCCATTTGACTCCCCGTCTCGAGATCGTGCTCACTCTGGACAGGTCCGCTCTACCTTCGACAGAATCCCTTGAACTTCCCGATAGACCAATAGTATGTTGTAGTGACCACTATTTCTAAGCTCTTGCTGACTCGTGCCTCTGACAGCATTCAAAAAGCCGCAGGCGACATGAAACTCCCTGTTGAGAATGATGGCAATAACCCAAAGGCCCCGGCCATGGGTCTCTTCACAACCGACATCATGATAGATAAGTTTGGCTATCGTCATTCTTCATTGGCGGCTTACCTTCCTAAGTCGACGGTTGATGGGCGAGGAGACAGACTCACACTCTGTACTGGTGTTGTGGCCACAAAGCTTCAGACGAATGATGGTGGGACAGAAGTGACGGGTGTTTACATTTTGGATCATCTTGACAAGAGCTCTGCCAGGCAATGCTTTGTAAACGCCAAGAGAGAGGTCATCGTTTGTTGTGGAACTCACTTCTCACCGCAGCTTCTAATGTTGAGGTATCATTTCTTCGAGACCCCTCCAGCACATTCGATCGTCGCTGACTCTATGCAGCGGTATAGGACCAAAGGAACATCTTGAAAAGCACAACATCCCACTTGTACGAGATATGCCAGGAGTGGGTGCTGATCTTCAAGATCACATAACTTTCGGCATCGCCTTTCGCACCCGTCTCATCGATTCGTATCTCCGGTTGTTCAGTCCCCTTATTGGCATTTGGCACTTTATCCTCTTCCTCCTCTTCAAAACTGGCTTACTGGCAACTTCTGGAACCAGACTGTGTGCTTGGTTTCATACAAGCACCATTGACGAGACCACAATGACCGTGAGACACCACGGAAATCGCATCGATGAGAAACACGACAACATGGATCCGCTAAGACCTGAGAACGTGCCTGATATCGAGCTCCTGTTCACCAATGCTTCATACGATTATGAGAAGGGTAAGGGGTACTGCGCGTTTCAGACAACACTGGTACAGCCATTCTCTAGGGGCAGAATCGAGCTCGCCTCTTCGGATCCTCTGGCGCATCCCAAAGTGTTCCATCACTACATCACAGACCCACGCGACTGGGCGGCAGCGCGCAAGGCTGCTCGTTTCTCGATGAACTTTGTAGAGCGCTTCCGTCAGACGGAGTACCCCTTCAACGCCACCTGGCATCTCGCTCCCGGAGTCAAGGCTGGTACGGTTGAGGGTGGATGGCGGGATGTGACGGACGAACAAATCGATGCCTACATCAGGGAGCGTTTGGTCAACATCTATCACGCAACTTCCACGTGCCGCATGGGCACCGTAGAAGAAAATGGTGTAGTCGGCCAGGATTTGAAGGTCCATGGATTCCGAAACTTGCGGGTTGCTGATGCAAGCGTTTTCCCAAAGGTGACGAGTGCTCACACTGTGGCGCCGACTTACATGGTGGCAGAGCGATGCGCCGACTTTGTCAAGCGAGACTGGGTCGACAAAGCTTGATACTGTTGATAATTAGGAGCTTCAGAGCATTCGCAAGAACGAGACGTTTAATTCAGTAGCATCATCAAAGGCGTAAAACGAGATGATGTCGCGTAATATTCAATTGGTATTCATAAATCCGCCCGTAGTTCTGGAATCAGCTACGGTACCCATTATTCATAACTTGGCCTCTCCTCCACGGCTATCCTCTAGTCACAAAAGGTGCTCATCGAACCAAGCGACGGCTTGGTAAAAGGCCTGCTCCTTGGCGTACTTTTGAACTTTCTTGCTCAAGTCGCAGCGGACAGCAAAGCCGTGCTCGACGCCAGAGTACAGGTTAATTTGGTAGGCCAGACCGGTCTTTTGTAGAATATCCTCGGACTTGTGACGCTTCTCGGCGGGGAAGATGCTGTCGGTTTCGGCGGCGGCGATGGAGAAAGGGCCGGTGATGGCGGCGAGCTCGTCCTCGTCGACGAAGCTGGGATGGGCTACGAAGCCGACCTTGATGCCGTCCTTGTAGTGGCGGACAACGTACTGTCGAATGATCGTGTCAGAAAAACCGGCACTTGTGGAAGCTATAGAAGAGGGGGAGATGGTAGGGAGAATGCATACCTTGGCGCCAAAGCAGTAGCCGAGACCACCAATGTTGGTAAGACCGAGCTCAGTCTGCATGTACTTGAGAGAATCGACAATGATGGGATCAACGGCCTCCTTGTTATGGGGGTTCTTGCCGTCGCTGCCCTCAGCGAGCCACTTCATAATGTCAAAGCCAGCAGGCATGGGAACAGAAAGCTGGTCCTTGTTGAAGAGATCAACGATCAAGGTGGTGTAGCCATTGGCGGCGAACTGGTCGGCGAGAAGTTGTGAGTTGCTCCAGATGCCAAAGACATCGGCAACGTAGAGAAGGCCGGTGTTCTTGTGTGCCTTGTCGGCGGGAGCCTCGGCGAGGTAGCCCTCATACTTGCCGGCGACGGTGATCTTCTTGCCCTGAGGGGTGCCTCTGTATCGAATGCGATTAGCGAGAACTACTGTGATTGAGTACTAAACCGAGAGATTGGCGTATCATATCAGCCGACAGACATGCCATAAGGCTGATGTTTGGGACTTTGGAATGGGTTTCTCGGTGACATTTTCAGGCAGGATTCACTCAATCAAGCTTTGGAAGAGTGGGGGGAGGAGGAAAGTGTGGCGGGGTAGCTCTTTACGCAGTGTGTCGCTCAAAGGGTCTTGGAGGTGTCTTACTCGTGCTTGACACCGACGGTGCAGCATTGTCCGGGAGGGTTGGATGCCATTTTGACTGTTGATTTTTTTGTAAATAAAGTAGTTGATGTTTGTAAGAAGACGGTATCACAGAGGACGAGAGAAACGGATAGCAGGGTCGGACGAAGAGCAGGGCCCCATCGACCTTAAAGAGTCTGAAGCTCAAGCAGGACGTGGGAGGGGCGTCATTGACCTTGGAGGGGCCCACGGATGTTCAGCGCCGGGGGGTTTTTGGCAAGTTGGGCCCGTTGACGTGAGGAATTACCAAGCACCCAAGCAACTGGATCTCCAAACGGAGACTACTCGCCAAGGCCGGCCCTCTATTCGTACCTTTTCCCCCCTACTTTGGGTGGGTCGAGATCCGTTCCGATCCATCAAAAGGAAGATTCGACTGGTAACTCGGACGCCGTGCCACCCCTCTCGATGAGACAAAATGGCACCCTGATGAAAACACAAACTCTTTCGGGCACCGGTGCCGGTCTCTCTCAGCCCCCACTTCGCCGAGTTGCGGTGGCTCGGTTTTTAGCTGGACATAAGCCGAATGCCCTCTCGTCGTACTTCCTAGCCGTGGTAGTCCATGGAGTTTTAGAGTCTATAGGAGTCGAGCGGTGCGGTTCCGAAGCGGCAATCTGAGCGGCGGCAGTAGCGGAAATAAGGTGGTGGAACATCCTCGGTATCTTGGACTTGGTCTTTTTCTCTCACCTTCTATTTCAAAGATGCCCGTTCCCAATTTACCTAACAGAATCATACTACCATGGACACAGAACAGTCCCGGTAAATGGTCCCGGCGCAGAGTGGTTTGGGCCCGACGGATGCGGGTGGTGCGTGTGATGGTCGGGAAATCGCCCTTGTCTTTCTCAGGGTGATTTGCCGACTCGGTGTGCGGCCCGACACTTGATGTCTTGAACTGCCGGGGTTAAACCCGAATATCGCAACCTACCTTACCTTACTAACCTTGGCTCTCTGGGAGACCTGGCAAGTAGTTGTCACACGAAGAATCCCTTTAATAGCTTCAAGTCCTAGCAAGACCGATCCTGTTCTGGTCATGAAAAGCGTCCCCTCCGGTGGTGACTCGAGATGAACTCGTTGCCACGATTTCCTGTCTTCGTGGACGGGGATACAACATTGGTGGTTTCTTAGGCACTGGAGGATCTTGGGTCTATAGACGATCGTCTCGGGGGGCATCTTATGGCTTTGAGTGCATAGTTGGGTAACTTGACGAGGTGTCCGAGTGGTAGATTGGAGAATAATGCTGATACTTCGGTGAACACACCACACCACTGATGGCTTAGTCACACCTTGCCCTTGAGAGTTCACCATGAATCGGTAGCGAGCGCACGTCCCATGCCAGTACGTCACTGCCATGTTGCCTCCTCGTCTCCGTCCCCGTCCCGAGTCCACTGCGTCAGGCCCAGAGACCCAAATTAGCGTCCCCACAGCGGTCTCTCATTGACTTCTGCCGCGCTCTGCCGCCAGGTTTCCCTGTCTGGTCACCAATCCAGCCGTTCCTGGAGATCGCCCGCTCGGCAACATTTCCCCCCACGGGACCTGAAGAACTGCAGACTGCAGAGCTAATTGCTTGAACCACTCACTGCGCCAGATGCTATCGCAAAACTTGCCCAGAAAATCCTGGCGCATTTCGTTCCATTCTCCAATCTGAAGAGTCCTTTGCGTTCCACGATACCAATCACAGCATCCATACCCGTGTGCGAATGGCGGCGATACTTCCCATCCAACAAAGACAGTGAAGGGCTTGGGAATGGCGGCGAGCGAACACCAAAATGATCGAGGGGCCGACGATGACAACCATGACGAAACTTTTGCACGCCCCGTTGTCTTGCCCGTAGAGCCGGTCGAAGCATTCCCGCCTATGCCTACCTTCGCTCCCGAACATGCGGCATACGACGAGGGCATTCTGAGTGCCAAGAACGATATCAAAGTGTCGCACATACCTCTCCCTCCCTTACCAAACGTGTCTGCGAGCGCACCCCCTACCTCGACCCTCCCTACCATTCCCGGCGGCCACTCCGATGAAGAACAGTCTTCCGATGCTTCATCCACGCATAGCAAGCCCGAGAAGCAAGACTCGTCCAACTCTTCCTCCACGTCCGAGCCTGCGACCGCTGCCGAGAAGAAGGAGGCTGAGAATAAGGGCGACGTGGCACCAAAGTCAAGGGCCAGGGCCGGATCGAGCTCCGCATCCATGAAGAAGAATCAAAGCCACGATAATGTTAGGAGATTATCTGTCGCAGGGATACAACAACTCACCGCCCCCGAAGCTCTCCCTGTCGCAGTAGTTCCCGACCAAACCCCCGGCGGTCAAGAGCAGCCGGTTCGCTCTCCTCTAGCAGACCAACTCGAGGCAATTCGACAGTCGATACTCAGTCAGCCAGACTCTCTGCGACCAAACGGCCCCGTGACAGACGGCGGAAATAGGTCGCGATATCAAGACGAGCCGAGACGACCTACCTCGGGCAGAACGCTCTCGACGCCTCCGACGAATCGACGACAATCTCAGTCACAAACCACGTCGCCCCGCCGAAATTCCTTCTACGCTGTTGCCAGGCCACCGCCTCTCAATCTTGATGCCACCAGCCACTTCAACGCAATAAACCCTCTGCCGACAGGTCAGAACAAGCAACCACCACCACAGATCCAAGTACCGCCGCCAACAAAGTCACAGCGAAATGATCCTTTTCCGCCGTCGCCCCTGCCTCCTTCGATACCCCTCCCGCCTATGTCTATACCCACGCACCTTCAGTTGGAATTAGCAGCCCAACGACCGAGCCCTCTGTATATACACCACTCGCACACGAACGATATACCCTATGAGTCCTACGTCGTGAAGTGGGAAAGACTCAAAAATGTTCTGCTATTGCCAACATTTCTAGAGAGAACGCTCTATTTCGGAGCTCTGGCATGTCTTGATGCCTGGCTCTATAACTTTACTATCCTGCCCATGAGATTCACCATTGCCCTCGGGGTATTATTCAGGTGGTGGGGTTATATGGCTATCAAGGAGGCACGGTTCATGGTTGGTTTCGTTTGGTACGGACTGGGCAGAGTATGGGCCAGAGCACGGAGACCCAGGGCAAGAAGTACGTTGCCCGCTCAAAAAGGAGGCAGCGATCACCTCGTCAGCCGCGACAGGAGCCAGAGTCGGCCGCCGGGGCGCAGATCATCTACTCCAGCCACGGATGTGAGATTACCTGACAACATCCCAGCTGTCCATCTCGACTCTGACGCCAAGGCGAACGGCAATGGGGTTATCGAACATGAGGTTAAATTGAATGGGAACGGGCACATCACTCACAAGATGAATGGACCTTCGAGCCATCACCCCCCACACCCTTCTGCCTCTAGAGTGCATCGACATCGTAGGACGAAGTCGATACCCTCTAATCTGTCTTCCTTTCATAAAGCAGATCTCTTGCAAGGCGCCGTCATTCTTTTCAGCTCGCTGTTCCTCATGAAGTTGGACGCTAGCCGAATGTATCACTTCATTCGAGCGCAGGATGGAATCAAGCTCTATGTCATCTACAACGTCCTCGAGGTAAAGCTACTTCTTAGTCTTGGAAGAATTGTCGCTAATCTAGCTAGGTTGGGGATCGCCTCCTTTCAGCGCTTGGTCAAGACATCTTTGAGTGTCTTTTCAGCTCCGAAACGTTGTCAAGAAATAGCTCTGGTCGATCCAAGGTGCTCCTTCCGCTGGGCATGTTCGGACTTGCACTGATTTACAATGTCATCCATTCTGTGGCGCTCTACTACCAAGTCATCACGCTGAACGTAGCTGTCAACTCCTATTCAAATGCTCTGTTGACTCTCATGATCTCTAACCAATTTGTTGAGATCAAGAGCACAGTGTTCAAGAGATTTGAAAAGGATAACTTGTTCCAGCTGACTTGTGCGGACATCGTGGAGCGCTTCCAACTCTGGATCATGCTGTTCATCATAGGTATGCGCAATATTGTGGAGGTTGGTGGGCTCTCCGTACCTGGGGCAGGATCCGAAAACAGTGACCTGGGAGGTTCTGGCGCTATGCCTCTTCACAGTCCTTCGATCCTGCCGTTCAGCTTCACTATTCTTCCGTCTTGGGTTTGGTCTGGCGAGGTGTTGTCCCCCTTTCTCATTGTCATAGGCAGTGAGATGCTGGTCGACACGATCAAACACGCCTACGTGAACAAGTTTAACAACATCAAGCCGACATTCTATAGCCGTATCCTTGACATCTTGTGCAAGGACTACTACACCAATGTGAGCAGACTCGGAGCAGGCCATTTTCATTTTGTTGCTGGAAACTAATTGTTTCTCCAGGCATTTGTTTCTCCTTCGCTGACGAGACGACTTGGTCTGGCTGTCATTCCGCTGTCGTGCCTGTTCATTCGAGCCTCTGTTCAAACGTACCACATGTTCCTCTCGACACGTATAGCTACGCCTATCGCAGAGTCCACGCAGACGTCCCTGTCCGTCGAGTCTGCTACGCCATCGTCGCCAGCAATGGTGGCAGCACTTGATCGTCTCGACACGTTACTTCGGGACGCCTTAGGCCGGGCCGTCTACGGCTATCCTTACGGGGAGCCAAGCGTTCAGAGCAGGGCATGGTGGACGTGGACCAGTGACGACGTGATTGCGGCGGTGACCATGATTGTCGTCTTCTTCATCGCCTTCTTGGTCCTTCTAATTATCAAACTGCTGTTAGGCATGGTTCTCCTGCGATACTCCCGGAACAGGTACGCCAAGATGAAGCGTAAGGAACACATGGTGGCTACCGGTCAGGAGGAGCGCGAGGTCTATGATGCCACCGGGAAGAGAGTTGGAGGTTACGGTCAAATCGAGGTCACAGAAGACCGGCGAAGATGGATTCACGCTGATGACAAGGAGGGGCTGAAGGGGGGCAAGGGAAGGATTCCGAAACCGGAAAGGCCACAAGAAGGCGACTATAACGGAGTTCAACGGTACGAAATGGTCGCAAAGAGGATTTGGTGATGGAGTTTTCTGGCGTCTAGCATCTATCGTGTAGCGTTGCATAGGGGAGCCCAGGGCATCTCGGAAGTTGCTCCGCTTCCTTTGATCTTCTGTTACTGGGAATCGATATATCTTTCTTCAAATATGAAACTGCGACATGTCTCTTCCAGCTGACAAGGCAGTACCGTGAACCATGACTATTGACCCTTCCGCTCCGAGGGGCTTCCCAGCATGACACCCTATTTGCTCCGATGCGGCCACTTCGAGTGTTCACAAACCTTAATTTTAGTCTCCAAAATATTGTTGCCCTCATGTATAGAATGACTCTTGGCAAATTCTACAGATGTGCTGAAGAATTTGTGAGACATTTACATTCACATGAAATCAAGGACTACTATACCAGCTGAGACATCAAATAGTTACCCAAGAATACGGATTAGGCGAGGCCTCGAGGAATCAATTCCCGCGGGAAATCAGTATTGTTTGTTAGAAGCTGCTTTTCTTTGAAACCCCCTTTTGAAATGAGAACAGTGGGGAGAACGAGGAGTAGTTACTTGGCAAAATGACAAATTGCGGCTGCTTGGTGCTTTGGTGAGGGAATATGAGTGAAAGCGTGTTACTACAAATGCCATGGGACACGAATTATCTTATGTCGTTTTTGTTTATATTTTCATTCTTTGTTATACTTTGGCAATCATCTTTCAAAGTTGCACAAGCATACATATTGTTCCAAGTGCATTGCGTATTCATCCGGATTGTGTGACAAATTTCCCCTTTTCAAAGCTGAAAAGGGGCTTCTCAAAACCAAGCAGGTTCGCCATTACCACGCCCATTCCAACATACCTTTGACTGAGAGCTATCCGGCATGCCAACTAGCATAAATATTTATTTTGGCGATAAAGATGGAGAATTTAGTTATCCCAGATCCTCTTTTGACAAGAGGGCTGCATGCCACTTACCAACGTTTGTGACGGAGGCTGCGATGGGAGTACAAATCGTTGTATTTGGAAGTGAATATCGGAGATTCATCATAGTGACAGGAAGTGCGTGTTGGGCTATGAACTCGAGGTCTCCACATGGTGCAGAACCTCCGTAGCTTGAAGGAATAGTAAAGAGCGTTTATACGACCATGCGAACAGACTCGAATGCTGTGTGGCTAAGCACAATGATGCATAATTTTGTAGGATATAAGACTGCGCCTCTCAGGCACATCATGAGACTGAAGACTTTTGGACAAAGTCACTGGCATGGAAATGAAGATGGGGAGCATATGCTGTAGTGGGCTCCCAGGGTTGACGGTATGTCGGAAGTATATCTTCACCGCAATTACATACTGCCGTTGGGGACGCGTAGGTCAGCTTCGCGTGCTTTCGGCCCAGGGTTTTTGCCAAATGAGATTCGACTAAGCAGTCCCTATCCAAGACTAGATCCGGGCCCAAGGCACGACAATAGTCGAACAAAACAAAGTTTGGCTACGCTCAACAGTGTTACGAAATACCTTGACTGGACTCCTATTCGGGGTTTCTGCAGAACTGACTTGCGTAATGCGTAGAAAGCTTGGTGCATGATTGGAGATTTTGGTCGAAGACTCGAGGGGATTGTGCATGCAGAATCCTTCCGCTCTGTCCGGGTCGACTTCGATCCGCACTGCGTACATATGCAGGAGTGATCGAAGGGACTATCATCCTACATATCTGACTCGTCTTGCGGCACTTCGTTCTCGTTAATCTCACATATCTGCAGCGGATGAAGAATCAGGAAAAGAAAACAGAACAACGGGCATAATTTCGGCGATATCATTATCTGCACTGGGCAGCCGGACGGCATACCCCCTATAGGCCAGAGCTCTCAACCCCTGGCGCAAAACTAAGTTGTGGAAGATCTAATTCTCCACGCCAAGTCAAACGGTGCAGGTGATCGTTTTGATACAGGAGAAATACTGAAAACAGTGTCCGCTGATTCGAGTTCTGATGGGAGACTCATGTTGTAGAAGATGTGTAGTGTATCAACGCCTGGTGAGTTTAGAGATAAAGGAACCAGAATTTCGGGGGCTTGTGAATTGGAAAACATGTAGCAGACATTCGATCAGTGGCCCTGGAGATCCCTAATCAGGCTGCCTCGTAGGCCCATAGAGGTCGCAAATACCTAAGGTAGGCTTTGGAGCTAGTTTGCACATCCTACTTTCCAGCATAAGGTAGGTACCGTGACGTGTCAAATATTCGAAAGTTGTATCGGCAAATAGCTACAGATCGTGGAAGATGCAGCTTCTTGGTTATATGGATGCTTTATGAAGTATTGGAATAGCTGGGCCAGGGAGACTGAAAGTGGTCCTGACAATGATCATGCATTTTGGCGCGCAAAGTTTGGCGTGAGACGCTGGCGGCAATCTCCTGTAGGAAGGGTGTTAACCAATCTTGACGCGCTCAGCGCTCGATCACTACGAGAAGTACGGCGTTTTTATGTCTCTTGGAATAACTTTGGTCTGCGAATGCTCGCAACTATCCGTGGATGGCGTTCACAGCTTGATGACGAGAATATAAGGTGAATGCTCGGCAGTACTTTGGCTAGCTGCGACACTGACATATTTCCAACTCGTTTGTGACAGGAAAATGGAAAGTGACGTCCGCTTACCTCCAACTCCCCCATAGACGAATGACGGCTGGGCAAGAGTTGAAATGTGGAAGGTGCCTAGGTAGAAACAACCTCGAGAGTCATTGACAATTAAATCTTTTGTGTCACGATAAGTACCTTCCATGATAACTGAGGCAGGTTTTCCTTGGGAAAGTGCTAGCCCTTAGAAATGGCCGTGGTGCTTTGATTCTCAGAAAGCAAGTGCGAGAAGGTTCAGGGGCATCATTTCGGAATTGAGGTAGTGCTTCAAGTTTCCGCGGCGTGTCAGTAAAACAGCACAGCGGTCCTCAGGGAAGGTGTGCACCTGCCCGTGAAGCAGAAATATCAGGCTGGGTTCACGTCAGTTTTGGAAGTTGCCAAGCATCGACATGTACTTCTGTAATTCCTTCTTTCCATCTTTACACCTCCATGGATGTCATTTGATAAGTTCCAGCCTCGAATGCTAACATTATGTCCCAATCTCAGAACTACATGGCATCCCTCTTTTCAACACAGCTCTGTACTTGTTCTCATCCGGTAGTAGCGAGCTTCAGACATCGTTTTCCAAATCTTTTCTTTTCCGCGCCGGCCGCCACTGAGGCAGATTGATCTTGAGAGCTATTTCTCTCTCGCAAACGCCGTCGTCTCTCGGTTCATCAACTTGTCGCTCCATCTGGATAATTCGAACAGCCAAACCCATCACCAATCGCTAGGTCACGACTACCACAAGCTCGCAATGGCTGCTGCTGCGAATGACACCAATGTCCCAGCTGCCATGGCGGAGCCAAGAACACCAACGTCGACTCCGGCATCAGGCTCAGCGTCCCCTGGTGTAGCGCCCGCCCACCAATGCAGACAATGCCGCGCCTCCTTCTGCCAGCCCCTCGGTTGCGGCCATGTCTATTGTGACGAGGTATGCACAGCGGCGGCGCTCTCAATTCTTCAACGGCTTCTAGAATACACCCGCTGACGCTAGCATTTCCAGTGCGCCGGCCCTCACCACAAGTGCCCCGAGTGTAATCGCCACCCTGTCGTGTCCCCCAAACCCTCTACAGAAGTGAGTGCGATTCTGCTACCTTTTGCATCATGTATCAACAATGTGCTGACTCTGGGATGTCCTCCACACAAAGAAAACACCCAAGACTACGTACCCCTCCGAAGACGGCCTTTTTGACCCTATCTTCCAAAAGAGAATCGACAGTCGAATCCGTACAATCTACTACGTCTCGCTCTGTTCTTTCTGGGCTTCCGTCCTCGTCGGTATTCTTTGCATTATTGCCATTATCCTTGAGATAGGCAGACGGTCGATTTGAGGCGAAAGGTTCAGGAGGTAGAACTTGCCATGACCGGCACTTGTTTGCTAGGCTGGTTTGTAGGAGACCCAAGGGCGGTTGAACATGATTACTTGTAGCATTAATACACCTTACAACTATTACTTCTACAACTTTGCGCAACCTACGACAGGATGCTATCCTGTGTGTATTCATAGCCACCGGCTTGGACGAAGATAAAGAGACGGCAAGGGAATTTACAATTACTTGCTAATGCACACTTGACTCATTATACCCGACGTTATCATGAATACATCGTAATCCCCGCCCAGTAACGCCGCTGGCGGCTCCCAGAGCTGCAACTCGATGCCCAATTCGATGCCCAATTTACTTCAGAGTTGTACAGATTGCCTCACTGGCCTACCGGAGACCGGCACCGTCGCCCCTCGACACACGTTCCCAGAATCGTCGGAGCCGCCAGACCCTACCCACGCCCCTAGTCTCCTCCCACTTCTTGATGCCCTCTTCTCGCTGACGTACCTCGCCCTTCCACACGCCCTCTACCCACTTCCTCAAGCCGTCCTTGACCTTCTCCTTTTCAATGGCGCGGCGCTTCGCAACGAGAGCGGGCGCGACTTGCACCAAACTCATACCGGGGACACATTCCGGCGGGAGCACAGCCCGCTCAACGAGGGCTTCGGCTGAGGGCCGCGAGGCCAGGCGGCGGGACAGTCGGATGGAGACCAGAGAGCGGGCAAGGCGGCGCGAGACGACCGAGGTGTGAGTCAGAAAGATGGAGCGGGCGATGAGTTCCGCTAGAGAAGGGCGGGAAGGGGAGGATAGCAACGGCGGCAGGATGGCACGCGTGTGACGCAGCCGATAGTGATGGAGAATAGGCGAGAGGGACAAGTGACGCAGGTGATGATTGGTCTATGTCATCAGCAGAGTTCAGCAACGACGGGGTCGGTCAATGGAGGGGACAGTAAGCTCAGGTGGGAACCTCGCACGAGGGAGGATGAAGCGAGTGAGGTCAGAGGCAAAAGAAAGCAGGCGGTCACTTGTGCGTGGGAATGCCTACCCTAGAAGTTGACAAGAGGTCATTCACATCCAAATAGCCAAGGATGTGCAGCATAATCTCGT